TATTGGGCAAGCTGTTGTAGAATTTTCGAATATGAATTCATGTGATTGGCTGAAAGTACGTTTGCGAAGCGAATGAATCTTGCATCATAAAAGAGGTCGAACCAGTTGATTCAACAAGGCGTCAAGTTCTTTCCAATTCTCAAGCTTTTCCGCGAATTTACGATGTTTGCGTGAGACAACATGCTATATGATAATTAGTATAAGATAAATCACCAGGTGAAAAGGAATTTACCTCATCAAAGTCTTCAAATTTATCGGCGCAATTTTCACAGTATCCGGGCTTTGGATCACGCTTCTCAAGCTTTCTTTGCTGAACAGCTTTTGCTTTGCGAGAAGCTTCCATCTTTCTTGCCGCTTCTTCTTTCTCTGTAGAAACATCATCCTCTTCGATTACACCAAGTTTCTTTTGTGCCTCACGCTTCGCAGGGCGAGTAGCTGTATCTTCTCTTACAGCAGCAGTGATATCAGTCAAACGATGGGATCCAGTTCCACCATTCGTCTTCTCAAGAACCTTTCTCTGCAACCCGTGTATCTCTTTACTTGTTCCAGCTTTGAGTCCAGGTTGAGCTGCAGTTGAAGAAATCATTTGAGAGCGAATAGCAGAAGTAATGTTGGATGGTTGAACTCCCGACGCAACAGGCTCACCTCCAAACAATCTACCAACGCCAGCACGACTGACGAACGCGTTTTGTCCTCGAGAAGAAGACTCAAGTTCTGCACGATTACTTCTATCAGTATCAAATGGATTAGCTTGATTTGTCGAGACAGTAACACTTCTATTACCTCCATCATCAAGATGGGATAGTACTCGTTTGCTGATTGCCTTGGGTGGTTGCATTTTAGCTGCTTCTACCGCAGCAGCAGCTCTTGTCCTTGGAACTGCAGCCCTCTCTTTCTCCTTTTGCCTCTGGATACGGATCAATTCCTTTTCTTTCTCCACCTCACGGCGACTGTACTCTACTTCCTCCACAAATGGACACTTGCCATTTGCAACACTGCGGAATTGAGGCCAATCTCCCTCTTCTTTACGGGCAACTTTGTTATATTCTCGAACCATAATTGGCTTTTGCTTTTCATCGATATCGTGAATGTAGATATAAGGCCCTCTGAATATAGTCATTTCTTTTGTAGCGACGCTAAGGTCTCGATCGGATGGTCCATAAATTCGTTCATTCCTCAATAATTGGGATAGGTCAGCTTCTCGGCCTCCTCTGCTTATCGTCCCACCCTGAACAGAATGACTCCTTGTGTTGTGACTATGTGCTGTTTGGTAACCAGTATCCGTGTCAAACATTGTTGTCATCATTCGTTGCAACTTTTCCAATGCCCATATCTTCATCCCCAATTCTCGCGCCTTGTAGAGTACATCCGAGCTACGGACTTGTTGTCGTCTTGTGTCTCCATCATGTCCTTGTGTAATAAGTCTTCTGCCACCTGGAGCTTCAAATGTAAACTTCGATCGAGATTCCCTTGAATCTGCAGTCTCGGATGATCTGTCTAGCAAAGAAGGGTTAATAGTGCCGTGTTGCGAATGTAACTCGGCGGTAGTTGAAGAAGTAAATGGGGTCTCCGGTGGAATTGATCGAGTAGTGACGACATGAGTGACCTCATTCGAGAAGAATTTTTCGTCGCGCTGAGAAGACGTCAATACAATCCGCGATACCCAATTACTTACACAGAGACATTACTTACTGCACCTAGGGCGAGGACTTGTTTCGTATATTTAAGTCGGACATCCTCTGGTATACTCTCAAAGTAGAAGACGAATTTGGGAAAACTCTTCCTATAATGCTTTTGCCATTGGCGTATCGATTCCAAATTCTCCTCTGGTACCTTGTCCGCCTTGGTAATCTGCTGTTGTTGAGCAGCTCTATCTCCTCTAGCTGCCACACACTTTCGTTCAAAATTGGATGGCTGAGTTGATCTCCGAGTAAAAATCCTTCCTTCACCCGATACTTGGCTAATACTTTGACGTGGAGGTGTTCTTAAAGCTTGATGATGTGCATCTAGCATCTGCTTTTTCGCCGGGGGTGGTTGTCCATATGCATCTTCGCGTTGTATGTTGGCGTATGAACGTTTTTGTTTGGTTGTGGTGGAAGCTACCGCTCGATATGGGGAATTGGCGACATTGGAGATGGTGGAGAGAGGCTGCCTCCTGGTCGACATATTGGTTGTTAATGTGACCGGTAATGGAGATAGGGATACTGTTGCCATATGAAAATATATCAATACTCTCTGTGTAGGACAGAGAAATTCCTGTGAAGGAGTGGAGTGGGGTGGTTCTAGCACGCGACTTTTGACACGGTTTATCACCACTTCCTTGAAGCTCTTATTTTTATGTAGACATTAAGTAAATATAATTCAAGAGTCTGGGGAAATGGACATCATTGAAATGAGTTAACACAAAAGCGTCGTGAATACCACACAATCCAATGAAGGTGGGTTGGGATAATGCTGGAGTGGATGTTATTTTTTGGTGGTGGTGGTGAAGTGAAGTGTCAATCTTTGTATGGTAGAAGTTGTGGTTATGGGCAGGGCAAGGTTCCTTTTTTTTTGATGTGATGATGACTACGGAGTACTACTGGGTTTGGATGTTATGGTAGACAACAAAAGGCTTAAAAAGGCGCGAAGTGGATTCATCGATTATATTCACTCAGCAACACAGCAACCAATTTAAATTACCTTCCCCGGTTTGTAATGATGGATAATACCTGGTAAATACTAATGAGAACCTAAGCAGATGCTAATCAATACTACCTGTCTCGGCCAACACTCGAGTAATTTAGAGGTAATCTCGAACCCTTTGAGCCAATCAAGCCCTTCCAATTTATGCTTGATCATATTCATTATATAGGACGGTATTACGAGTCTATGACTGCCAGGTCGGAGGAACCTTAAACGTCCATTAGTGCTTGATGGTAGAACATGACATAACGAAATATTAAGGTTGGGTTGCAGAAAATAATATATTATCTTCCTCGTATATACTTACATAGTACAGGGAAAGACTCGAGAACCTCAATCCCATCAACGCTTAATTGCCAGCCTCTATCATGAAGTGTAGTAGAAGAACAAGAACACTGTTCCAGCAATTGGAAGGGACCAGTGGGAGTAGAGGAATATCATCTTCATCCATAGTATCCTCAAGACCTCGATGTCAAGCTCAAGTATCGTCTGCAGCAACAAAATGTCACACAACATATCAATCAAGAAGGACGTATGCTTCCATATCAGCTTCAGAACTTCAATTTGGCCAACCGGTTCATGAAACCCATCCGCATTTACTTAATGCTGGAGAAGGTATGGAGATGAATTCAATGGTACAATTACAACGGGACTAAATAAAGTGATCAGTTACTCCAGGTATTTCGGCGCAAGAATATGCGGATCGACGAGCAGATTTCGCTGCAAAACTTCCTCCAAATGCAATCGCCATCTTGAGAGGGGCAGATATCAAATATAGGTCTGGGGCCGTATTTCATGAATTCCACCAGCAATCAAATTTCTTCTATCTTACTGGATTTAATGAACCAGAGGCAATTGCAGTAATACAGAAATTGGAGTCTTCAGAATTTATATTTCACCTATTTGTTAGACCTAAAGACCCGCAGGCAGAACTTTGGGATGGTGCTAGATCTGGGGAGCAAGCAGCCTTGGATGTTTTTAATGCAGATGAAGTAAGACACTATTTGCTACAGTACTTCACAAACAATAACAATACTAATATTGAAATAGTCTGGAGACGTCAACCAGGCAGCTTCATATCTAAGGCCACTTATTGAAGGAGCTAGTGAAATATATATGGATGTCAAAGAATCTTTCCTTGGGGGTACGCTGGACTCAATCCAAGGCGTAATGAAACAAAAGGATCTCATGCAACTATTCCGCGATGCTAAAGCAAAAAAATCGAAACCAATTGGGCCGTTGATAAACGATTTAAGGGCCATCAAAAGTGAAGCCGAAATCAAAAACATGCGGAAAGCAGGTAAAATCTCTGGCAGATCTTTTACAAATGCTATGCGGAAACGATGGACTGAAGAAAAGCATCTTGGCGCATTTCTTGACTTTGATTTTAAAATCGGAGGTTGTGAGAAGAATGCTTATGTGCCAGTTATTGGAGGTGGAAGAAATGCCCAGAGCATACATTACGTTTCCAACAACGATGTACTACGAGATGGCGAGCTTGTCCTGGTAGACGCCGGTGGACAATATGGTGGATATATTACGGATATTACTCGAACATGGCCCATCAATGGCAAATTCACAGATGCCCAGAAAGATCTCTACGAAGCGCTTTTAAAAGTACAGCGAAGTAGTGTTGCGCTATGCAGGGAAAGTTCAAACATGACTTTGGACAAAATCCATGCAGTTACCAGAAATGGTCTCACAGATCAATTGAAACAATTAGGATTCGATATGTCTGGAAATGCTATCGATACCTTGTTTCCACATCACGTTGGCCATTATATTGGACTTGATGTTCACGATACTCCAGGATATTCTCGAAGTAACCTTCTCAAGGAAGGACATTGTATTACGATCGAGCCGGGGGTTTATGTACCAAATGATGAGCGCTGGCCAGCTCATTTTAGGGGCATGGGCATCAGAATTGAGGATAGCGTTTGTATACAGGAGGATTCACCTCTAGTCTTAACTACCGAGGCCGTGAAGGAGGTTGTAGATATCGAAGCTTTACGCGACTAAATGAAGGGGATAAATGAATTGTATGATAATGATGTATACCACTCCGAGCAAAAAAGTATAAACGCATATACCCACAAATCAATCGAGATTGATAACGTCCGAATAGATGCTGAGTACTTTACCCATGAAGCTTTACCATGCCTTTCTTTCCAATGAGCCCATTTTAATTCATAAAAACTGCTAGTAGCACGAGGGAAAGATTATTATTCCTGGTAAATCGAGCATCCCCAGTGAACTCCTAGTGAGTTCCCGGTGAGCTTAAAAGTAATCTGCCGAAACTTAAAATAAGGATTCACATGATAACCTTGCCCCACTCTCCACTCAGTCGGCCGCAACTCCGCATCGAAAGTCCGCATCATATCATCGGCCTCAGCCTCGTCACATTCATTTCCATCATCGTACAATCTCGCCCACCAAACTCAACCTCGCATTGCACAACATTAATTTGTTACATCGAGATCAAATCAACATTTTCTGCAGCTATTCAAAATCAGATTTCCGTCCAGCAAACAAAACACAACCAACTCTCACACACACAAACCCAACCCACACCACGAAACAATGAGCTCTCCCAACCCCGACACCTCTCCCCTCCCCTCCCGCACTCCCACCCCCACAACCCCACCACCTCCCTCCCTACACGCCCACGCACCCACTCCTCAGCTATCCCCGATCTCCCTCCCTCCTCCCCCACTCTCCCCCTAACCATGACCTCCTCCCTCCTGCTCACCAATCTCCCACGCGATTCTAGCACCGCGCTCGACTCTGCATTTGTGTTTCCCACCCCGAAAATCACAGTGCGGTTTCAGCCGATTGGGTCGGCCCCCGCGTTGCAGAGACCCGTGTCGAGGATTAGTTCGACGCAGAGGTTTGAGACGGTGGTGGCGTATTTGAGGAGGGTGTTGAAGTTGGATCGGAATGCTGGGGGAGGGGGAGAGAGGGAAAGTGTGTTTTTGTATGTTAATAGTTGCTTTGCGCCGGCGTTGGATGAGGTGGTGGGGAATTTGCATAGGGTGAGTGGTTTATGGGATTGGTTATAGGGAGTGTGGGACGAGGGTTTGGAATGGATCAATGCTAATTTTTGGAATAGTGTTTTAAGGATTCGAAGGACCAGCTTATTGTTACCTATTCGATGACGCCGGCATTTGGATGATCGAACGAACCATGTGATACTCGGTAGTCAGACATTCAAACATTCAAACGAAACATTCAACATGGGGTATTCAATTGCTTTCTAAACTAGATTTGGGTTGGCATACCAAAAAATTATATTGCTATCGGGCATCTAAAAGCTAAGCAAATATTGGGAATCTAAAAGCTGGACAAATACGCCTGCGATCTAACAACATCGATAATTCATCCACAACACCTCAATCCATTTTGCTAATCGCACTTCGAAATTCCTCGAGCTCCTTCTCTGGAATCGGATATGTGTGCTCTGGGGCCGGGTAGGCTCGGGACTTCGTTTCCTCGCGGTATTCCGTAATGGCTCTTAAGCTTTCGCTCCAAACATCACCATATTTCTTTACAAATTTTGGGAGGAATCGACCGGGTGGGAAATTGCCAGTCATGTCAACTTGCACCAAAACTTGTCCCGAGCAACCATTTCCTGCGCCAATGCCTATTGTAGGAATAGATAACTTATCAGTTATAAGTTTTGCGACTTCTTGAGGAACAGCTTCAACGACCATTGCGAAAGCACCGGCTTCTTGGACGGCGAGCGCATCTTCGAGAACTTTCAGTGCACCGGCACAAGTTTTACCTTGCACGCGGAAGCCACCGAGGGAATTTTGTCGTTGGGGTGTGAGGCCTATATGACCTAGAACTGGAATACCTGCGGTCGTGAGTTTCTTGATTGTGGGGGCCATTTCTGCACCTCCTTCTAACTTGATGCCTTGCATTCGACCTTCCTTCACAAATCGAAAAGCGGATTCGAGAGCTTGTTCGGGGGATATTTCATACGAACCCATAGGAAGATCTCCAACCTGATGATTTGATTCGTTAGTAAAGGAGGTGGTGCATGAATTGAGGGAAAGCGGGAATGTACATACAGTGAAAGCAGCTTTTGCAGCACGCGATACAGAACGACAATGCATCAACATCTCTTCCATGATAACCTCACTAGTATCCTCCATTCCCAAGGCTACCATAGCCAAACTATCTCCCACTAAAACTATATCCATACCCGCAACATCCGCGACATGACCACTTGGGAAATCATGAGCCGTCATCACCGCGATAGGTTCCCCTTTCTTATACATGGACCTCAATGTAGTCATGGTGACCTTCTTCCTTGCACTCGGTGAGCCCATAGGACTATGCGAGCTTTTTCTAGTTTGACATTGTGCAAGAAATGGTCTCACAGCAAAAGTTGCTGGTCGTGAATATTGCTTCAATAGTGTGCGCGTGCTCATCTTCACGATGGAAAATGATGAAGACATGGTTGGAATTGATGGAAAGAAATTCTTTCGGATTGAAATTGATAATTAGAAAACTTTGAAGATGGATGATGGAGAGCCATTGTTAAAATTGCAGAGGCCCATAACAAACGTTTTGTTGAGGTCGTGATGATTATTGCGCTGTGGTTTCCATACTGGAGCGTCAAGTGAGATTATTTCATTATTTGCGGTTCATTTTGTCGCTTGGGGGGGTTCTTTGGGCCGAGGGATGGGGCTAGATTATGTAAGGGGAACCGAGGCGGTAGTTTGAGGGGAAGAAAAGGGTGATGATGGATGGCATGAGATGAGATGCGATGAGATACTATTGATTCTTTTGGGACCTGAGTTGTTATTCATTCATACATAGGTAGGGTGGTATGGCTCGAAGATAGTAATACCATGAGGATAAACCCGTCTACTTCTGTGTCATCACATCCTTGCTATCAAAAGCGTTTTCTTTCCCCTCCTTTCCAGTGTGATAGCGTTCAATATGGTCCTACTCTAAGATATCTAAAGCAGCATTCAGATCATGCACTGTACTGTGGTGTACCTGAAAGTTCTCTTCCATCGTTCAATCACAGATTGAGGCGTTCTTGTGAATCATACAGGTTGAGGTGGGTCGGGTTGTCATTTCTCTGAACCGGAAAGTATATGATGATGTGTTTACCCCTCCTCGCCTTCATGTTTCCTGACACACGATCCATATCCGGACAAAGACAAACGCAGAACCTAGTGAGCAAGTATTATTAAGTTACTATCATTACACAGATTACATACCTAGCTACCATTCAAACCATCTCACGAGACCAGAGCGGGCGCATGAGCCGGCAACTACCGATTGTTACCGCTTTATCGCTCAGATAAGGACTATACGGTCCACTGTCTAGCAGCTACTACAACAAACTCCAAGATCAATTCTCTCCTCATATAAACTCATTATTTCACCATTCTGCCATTTTCCTAGATCTACAAAGTACCAAATTCTTAAATCGAATACTTGCTTCTTAAATCGAATACTTGCTTAATCAAGAATTAAACATCATAAAGTCAAACGTCAAAATGTCTAGTCCTAGACGGAGGATTGAGACTGATGTAAGTAGTATTCCATAGTCATTACTTGGATGAGTTGAAAGACTGATGTCTGGTTTGGGATATAGGTCATGAAGTCAGTATTTATGATTTGAAAACTTATTTTTTTGAGGATCTCTAGCTAACAGTGTGATTGTAGGATGTATGCGACACCTTTTCACAGCCAGTCCGATTGATTTATGCTTCAGTGCTTACCAGGAGTATAGGTTGATGTCGGATTATGAGGTGACTCTCGTGAATGACAATAGTGAGTTGAAGGCGACTCCATACAGTCTGCAGAAATTCTAACCTTTTATCTAGTGTATGTAATTTGTTAAGGATAATTTTGGAACCAACCGCTCATGTAATGTCAATAATAGGCAAGAATTCTATGTCCGCTTCAAGGGACCAGCAGAGAGTGAGTTCACTTCCCCTTCCCTCTCCTCCGACGCCCCCTGCTCTCAAACACATATACTAACCGTCACTCCCACAGCACCATTCGAAGGCGGACTCTGGAAAATCCACGTCGAACTCCCAGATCAATATCCCTACAAATCCCCCAGCATCGGTTTCGTAAACCGCATCTTTCACCCCAATATCGATGAGTTGTAGGCCCTTTCCCCACCACCTACACGGTGGAACAGATTACTTACTGAGACTATTTGCATAGATCCGGTTCCGTATGTCTCGATGTGATAAACCAAACTTGGTCGCCAATGTTTGATATGATCAATATCTTCGAAGTATTCCTCCCGCAATTACTTCGATATCCAAACCCGACGGATCCACTGAATGGAGAGGCCGCCGCATTACTTATGAGGGATTCGAAAGCGTATGATGTAAAGGTTAAAGGTGTGTATTTCTGGGGATTATAGGCAAGGGTTTTGCAAGTGAATGGGATGGGAACTGATGAATTGTAGAATATGTAACGAAATACGCAAGTAAAGATGCAGCAGACGATGCGGGCGCCGACGAATCAGATGACGATACCATGTCCTCGGTAGCTAGTTTCGACGACGACGATGACAATGAAGAGGCAGCGGGTACAATGGAGGAAATCTAAAGTACACCTGAATCGTTCGCGGACAGTTTGGTCGGTCCTAGATAATGGATGGATGGATGGATGGATACTTTATAAAGGCATACGCATTTCACGCATATTTTCACGGGTGTTCATATGGTCTGGTTATGGATACTATTTTCAATGGATATTGATGCAGGGCTTAGGAGTTTGATTGAAGTGCAAATATTTTGATTTGGCGGGGTATACATAGGCCTCTCTACTCAATTTTCTTTTCTCTCGTGATGTTTTCAGGGTTTTCGAGATACATAGAGTAAGGCATCATCGATTAGGGTGTGAAGGTGAATGTGGATGTGGAGGTGATGGAATGGTGAAATTTTAGCGTGTTCACTGAACTGGTTACCTAGCTAGTAGGCAGGCGGACCGACAGCGAGTAGGTAGTTGAGAGTGAGAATTTAGCAATTGTTAAGTGCTTGTTATAATTCTAGGGTTATGCTGTACTGTGCTTGAGTATCTAAGCTGTCGAGAAATGAAGCCTCTCAACCCTACAATACCAGCAGCCATTCCTCTATAAACCTTTCAACGTTCTGAATAGCTTTTCAAATCGATCATAGTCATAAAGTTCAATTATAAATCTGGTATGTTACATTCCAATGGGATATACATCTTATTAGCAGCATCTTATTATTCATTCCCATAAAGATCTATGTCCTTAGTCAAATCTATATCATTTTTTATATGAAGAAGCTTTTCAGACCTTCAACTGAAGAATTAGAATCTTTAAGATACTCCTTGCTTCGAATCAAACCCAACTAGCTTAGCACCATCTTCATCACTTGATTTCATCTCCCTCTAGGATCATCCCCAGAATAAATGTCTTCTTTCCATTCACCATTTATCCTAATAGTACTGGCAGCTTCATTGGTAGTTCTGTCAACTTCATTGTTCATCCTATTAATCATCCTAACTCTACGAGCAGTACTAACTTTATCAATTCTACACGCGGTACGAGCAGCAGTACAGATTCCACCAGGAGTACCAGCAGTATCAACTCCATTCGCAAAATCAATCCCACCAGGAGCTTTATAAACCCCAGCAGTTGTACATACCACATTCTGTCCCGATGCTCTTAATTCGGCAACGTAACTTCGTTTCGCTCGCGCCGCGCCTTTCGCAGTGCTCAGAAAGTCTCATTGGTTGCTGTAGAGCCTCGGGGATTGCTATAGACAATCTGATATACTATATTGGTACACTATCAGATCTGAATCATGTTACACTCACGATTCTATCAACTTCATTTTTTTTTATAGTCTTCTCGGAGGGTTTTCCTTCCGGGTTTCGTGATATCTGTTTTCGATGTTTGGATTGGGAAACTTGAGCTGATATGTCCGTTGTGATTCGAAAGGGGTTGGTGGATCTTGAACATGGAGGGGAGGGATTGAATGATTGAGGAATTAGGTTTAAGAAGGACTGGTTTGATGTGTTGAGAGAAGATCGATATAATTTGTAGGAATGATTGGATGTGGTGGTTGGATTGGATTGAAGATTTCTTGATGAGGTTTTTGCTGGTTAGAGGAATCAGGAGGGATATGATTCTTCTTGTTATGTAATGGATTGTTGGGAATGGAAGAAGGAGAGGAGGAAGAAGAAGAAGAAGAAGAAGAAGAAGAAGAAGAAGAAGAAGAAGAAGAAGAAGAAGAAGAAGAAGAAGAAGAAGAAGAAGAAGAAGAAGAAGAAGAAAAGTAGAAAAGGAATTACAAGAGAAGTTGAAGGAATAAGTGATTCTCTCTTGTAGCATATTGATAGGGAAGGAGTGTTGTATATGTTCATGTGGAAGACACCCTTGATATGGAAATATCGATATTTACATCTGAGATATTTGATCGCTATCTCTCATCTTATGTGTATATTACATCTTGATAGAGAGCGAAGTAATTGGGTGTTAATATTAAAGCTTACTTGGATATCAAAAAATAATGTACTTCAACAGTGGGTAATTAGTAAGTAATCAATATATTGGTATATTCAGCATTCATCTATAGATCCAAATCCATCATCGGAATTGTATTTTACAACGATATAAATAAATGAATCCATATCAACAGACTGACTTCACAACTCGTTCATCTCCTGGCTGTAGACCTTGTACTCATTTGACCACACTGAAAGAAGTCTATCATGCACAACAGATACCTACCTACCAGGTAGCTATGGAAAGAGTGAGAGAGAGAGTGAGAGAGAGAGTGAGAGAGAGAGTGAGAGAGAGAGTGAGAGAGAGAGTGAGAGAGAGAGTGAGAGAGAGTGTGAGAGAGAGAGTGAGAGAGAGTGTGAGAGAGAGAGTGAGAGAAAGAGAGAAAAGAACGAATAATATCCGAATTGAAATTCTCAACACACTACGAATATAGGGAGATCCGAGAGGTGTATCGTTCTGACACATAACACGGGTTTCTTCCAAAGAGCAAAAGCGCGAATTGCGCGTCAGTTTTTGGGGGGTTGGAATTGCTGGAATTGCTGACTGACTGTGCAGAAATTGATGGAAAAAATGGGAGGGGTGCTCTGGCTCCCTCTAAAGAATCTGAAATACTTTTCAAAAGACCTCTCCTTATACTCCGCAAGAGGTAAACAAAAGTGCATCAACAAGGTAATGATGGGTGCGCTGAGTATCAATCTCAGAAGGGAAAGGAAAGGGAGGTATGGGTTGAGGTGATGGGTGATAGATGATAGATGATGGGTGGTGGTGGTGGTGGTGGTGAGAGGGGAGAGGGAAAGAGGAGAGGCAATGAAATGGAAGGGAGAGAGGTAGGTGTAGACGGGGTGGGAATTGTATAGAAGAAGTAAGTAGATATAGATGTGGATGTAGATAAGAACGTCTTTGACGAATAGAGAGAGGGAGAGATATGGATAATAGAAGGGGGTTGGTGGTAATGGCCATGGGGAAGATGCAATGGGGAAAACGAGTATGAGCAAGATAAATATGAATGTTGGTTTGAGAAGGATACAGGTGACATAGCACCTACGACCTGTAAGTCCTAAATGTCTATATTGTATTCTCTCTAAAGAGCTAGTTATTCTATACAGATAGTAGGCCTTAAATAAGGACTACTGAAAGAGCTAGTCTCTTTCGCATTCGCTTAGATTTAGTACAGTGGCCATTGAATTAAAGTCATTCACCTACGTTCATACAATGAATGTGGCTGGAGGTATTGAGGTTGATGGGTATAGTGGATGCTAGATGTATGTATTGAGGATTTTGGAATGTGTGAGTGAGAAAGAGATGGATGGATAAATCATGAGTAGTATAAGAAGAAAGGTAAAGTGATGTTTTAGTGATAACCAAAAGTAAAGATGAGAAGAGGAGAAGAGGGTGGCGAGGAAGGGAATGAGTGAGGGGGTGAGTAGATGAGTGAGCGAATCTGTAATTGAGGGGGCGAGTAAAGTAATGGACCCTTCAAATTATGTATCCACTGCTCTATTAGAGATGACATATGTTACCATCCATCAAATGAACTTTTCTTTCCATCTTATCATTCACATTCACCATTTACCACGTATATATCTATCTCATGATATTGCTATATTGCATTCTACGAGCTGGAAGATCTATACAAATATCGAAACAAGCTAACAAGTATCCGAATGCAGAATGAGAGAGGGAGAGTCTGGCTCTGAGGGGAGAAGAGTATATGATATCGATATTGTGTATGCATGTATAAATAATGGTCCAATGATCCAATGATAAGGGATAGAAGTTCATAGATGAGATGGGGATGCAGCAGAACGTTAATGGATTATGAAACGGCTTGTTGGCATTGAAGTAAGTGCATGTAATTTTCTATATTCTTACATATTACATGGTGACATGATGCCATGATGCCATATATGTGTATTTGGGGCTATAAGCATAACATGTAATTGATAAAATATCTTCTAAACGTGTATCTGAAATTTAGAGAAGGAATAAAAATTGGTACACTAGTAGTCGTATTTATGTAGACACTAATCTTAACACCTATTCTTTTTTCTTGTCTCTGTGAACATCAATACGGTTTCCCACCTTTGGCAGCAACCCCTTTTGAGCTTCTAGTACCCGTCGTATAGCTTACCTATCAATCATTGCCCTCCTTATAGTGTACTCTTCCATTGATCGCTGTGTTCATCATAGATAAATTACATTGATATGGGTGCGTACCTATTCATCAATGATTCCCCAGTGTCATCGCATTGACTTTCCTACGATAGCGAGGTCGTAAATTCACTCCCAAGAAAAAGTCGCGGTCGCACATCATCTACCAATTATCTACACCCATCCCATGACACGATTCACTACGCATCCACTCTCTCTCAAACCTTAGCCGAGACCCTCCAGATCCGCCAACGACACCCAAAAAGACTCTATGTTCATAGATAGGTGAAGATTAAAAAGTCCAAAAATTCAATCGCAAGGTGAAAGCTTTAACATTAGAGAATTTAAAAGGGTCGAGGCCTTTCTGCCAACATGAAGGTCTTGTGCCGCAGCTCAACGCTTTACCGTTGAGGCAACTGGATGCAGCAGCATGTCAGGATTTAAAGTTGTCGCGTTGTTTTTGTATATGTGTGTAAGGCAGCGGGGCGGTGAGATGGTAGTGATATTTTCTGCAAACTGCCCCTCGCTGTCGCGCAGCGGGTGGTAGTGCATGTCCCCGAAGGTTTGGCATTCAAAAAAGGTAAACCACGTACCGTCATGTTGAAGTCCATATATCGATAAGAAGATTGACGGTAGGGTGATCATCAATGACTTACAAAAGTAAAGTGAGAATGCAAATTAATCTTGATAATGAGAGTCTGAAAATGGAGCTCGTATTCAGACAAGGTGAATTCAAAATGTAATGCTTGATTAAACTTAGTAATGCCAAGAGGCAACCACCTCATCATCGATGCAGAGCATTTCATATCCACTGCATCTGGAATCATGAAAGTCAAATGACAGTTCGTAGGCTGACGAGGATTCCTTCAATCTGGGCACTGGAAATCTGAGGTCCGGTGACTCAAGTTTGAGTTGCAAGTTGAGAATCGTAACTCAAGCTCGTGTTGACGTTGTCGCTTGCAATTCTTTCAGACCTTTTCGAATCGAGTCAAAGGAGCTGGACTCAAGGGAATAAATTGCCTTGAGTTGAAACAGCAACCCAAGATGGCGTGACTAATTCCTAAGTCATAACACGATATGTGTGCGGTCTGGGGATATGAATAGTGGACTAGCGAGACTAGCCACCCCGCGAATTTGCCTTGGCTTCCTTGTCAAGGGGTAGACCCACAATCTTTGATCACACGTCTTTCGCCGGG